TATTCTATTCTATTCTATTCTATTCTATTCTATTCTATTCTATTCTAGACACTACAACACTATCACCCATATCCCAGTAAATAGATTGTATATGCAATGTATTGACACACAAAAGATAGTACTAATATTTTACCTATCTTCCTTTCTTAATTTATGATACTTTTCTCCAATCCTTATTTTTAGAATAATAATAAAAATTATACACACTGACTGCTAGTTTTAAAGGTATGAGGCTGGGAAAAATTATTGATAAAATTACCACATTTTAATATTTTATCATTATATCATCATGGAAAGACTTGAACTATGATCATATGTGTAGGCATTTTTTTAAATGTAATAGGCTATAAAGTAAGTCTATAACTTATACAACATATGCTTAGCACATGATACAGCATTGAAAAATCTTTGGGACAAACTATTAAAATGGAATAATGCTCTTACTATATTCATTTAATTTTATCCATTATTACATAAAATAATAATTAGAATAATTTATAAACTGAAAACATACAGGAATAATCTTAAAATATTTAGCTGAATATTATAACATTGAATATTAGTTTATTCCATCACTGAACATTTTCAGCAATATTTTATTACTTCTAAATTTTCAAATGTACAACATGGGCATTTACAGCATAGCAATTTATTAATGGTTTCTTCTGACACAATTATACATTAGATTAATTTCCAGTAGCTCAGAGATATGAACAATTTATTTCTCCAGGTTTATTTAAGCCAAATTTTCTATTGAACTACAAGAACCGCTGACCTGGAACTTTTTCTTATGTTCAATAGGTCAGTGATTCTTCTTGGTGATCATGTTGACATGTGATTGTGTGTGCACAGGACACAGAAATAGTTTGATTAGTTTTCAGATGTCCTTTGCCCTGAAAACTAATGGAAGCCAGATATCAAAAAGTTTAATATGGGTAAAGCACAAGCTTCAATGCTGACCTACACCATGATAGGTAATAAGTAAAGAAATATCAAAAGCATGGATTGCATTTCTAATACAGCAGAATCTTATAGATAAAAACTTTTCTAACCAAAGTAAAGTACCAAATAGTAGTTACATCACAGTATGAGTAAAGCAAGAACTTGACAATCACCCTAGGCTAGAAAGATTTATATTTAAGAAAGGGACTCTTCCTGTCACAACACAATGAAATTTCACTAAAGCCTTAAGCAAACCTGTCTAAGAGATGACTAAATAAAGAGGAGAAATTGGGACCAGCTAAACAGCTAATTTAATTATTCTGGTCAAGAAAATATGTTCAAGATTGCTTTCCTTGTTTCTTTCTTCAATCTACAGCAGACTCTTATTGTGATGCTAGATTGTTGCCCCTGGATGTAATGTAATACTGCAAGCTTTTGTCCAAGAGTAATGAACAAATTTACCTACTTTATCATGAAGAAATTTTTTTAAGTGCAGTGGAGGTTTCAAACAGTATTCTCTATTTTAGACTGGCAACATATAGAGATCAAGCTCCAAAATATGCTTAGCATAATCTGAAGCATTAAACAGTAAACAACCCATCCCAAGCCATTATCAATTTAAAAAGATTCTGATGGAGAGATCAAATTTACCTTTACAGAATCCATGCCAACTTTTCTTTAGCAAGGCTTGTTCCTCTGAATGCTTAGGGATTTTTAAAAATTATTATTACAATTTCTGCAATTTTCTAGGACAAACAGTTGAAACTTTTGAGTGGCAATCAATACTAGTTTCATATCTGGTTTCAAACAAAAAATTGTCTGGATTACTTGGATAGATGACCTGCACAGGAGGAATACACATGTCTTAATTGGGTCTGAAAGCTGCTAATCTAAAATATTTCCATATTTTGAGCATTCAAATTCACTGGTTCTGAACAGTCCATATAGACATGGCCCATTTGTTGACCCTGATAAAGGCAGAATAGAGGAAGCATGAACAGTATCCTAGTAGCATTCAACACCAATTCCTCTATTATTTAAACAATAATAGAATATATAGATTTCTATAAAGCCCATAAAGGGGCACAATTGTTCAGCAGTTAAAGGTGCAAAACTTGTCAGCTGGAAAGCTGACAGGCCAGGTTTTGAAACCTGAGCACTGTGCTAGGAGTGAGCTCCCATTACTTTCCCTAGCTGCTGCCCATGTAGCAGTTTGAAAGCATGCGAGTAGATAAATAGGTACCGTTTCAGTGGGAAAGGAACAGCATTCCTTGAACCTCAGCATATAGTCAGGCTGGCCACATGACCATGGAAATGTCTTTGGTCAATGCTACTTCCCTTGGATAAGAAACAGATATGAGCACTGCCACCTTGAATCAAACACAACTACAGGGGAAATTTTTACCATTACCTTTTATAAAACCCATGGAGTCTTATAACCTATTAGCTTTGAGGCTGAGCAGAAATCCTCTAAAGCCACTCTATAAAGAAGATCCTGGTGGTGAGAGCAGACTAGCATCTCCTAATCCAGTTCCAGGTAATAATTCAGCAAGAAAATTCAGGAAGCTATTATTCAGAGTCAGCCAAAAAGTTGTGCTGGCTATGGTGGAGCAGCAATTGACATGATTCTTCTGCTACAATATATATCAATATGTCTTGTACCAAAACTCACACAACTATTTTGGCACATGAGGTAGAAAACTTTAGAAGTAACTCTCCTGATCCTTGGATGAAATACTTGATTTATAATAAATTATATCATTGACAACTTATTCTTCTTTCATCATACAATCTGCTGCATTATGGTAAGACTGATGGCTACATTGTATTCAATGTAGATATAACATATTCCAATTACTTTCAGCTTTTTCATTGCCCTATTTTTTAAAAAATTATTGACCGCCATGAAAGAAGAGTCCTGCAAAGGATGCAGTTTGACTGGATGGATATTTTGCTGTGTTTGTTCTACAGGATGTGCTTCTGATTTCTCTGATTTTCACTTTTTTTTTTTTGACAGTGGGCATCTTTCAAAAAGATTAGGTGAGAAAAAATGGCTAATGCATTTGCACGTCTCCTGCTTGGTCGAAGAACTGCTGTTTTAGTTGCAACAGTCAGTACTGGAGCTATGGCTACTGGATACTTTTTAAATCAGCAAAATGTGAAAGCTGAAAGTTTTGGACATAAGAAATTATTTCCTCCCAGGTAATAATTTGATACAGATACTTGAAAATACATTGGTTTGAAAATCTAAAAATCTCTGTTGAATGTTCTGTATAGTAAGGTTAAGGGGGAGTATGATTATCATTAGAAAGGAGTCTCAAAAGTTTTTAAATTTATTTTTTTACAGAAAGAATAGCATATACAGTGACTGTGAAATTTGACAATGGGTGTAGAAATCCAGGAGGAATGGAAAATATTTCCCAGGATGCAAAGGGAACTAGGAATGTGGGAAATAGGGCAGGCCAAAAACCTTGCCAATAAAGTAATGGAGAAGAGTGAAATCTTAAATTGTTGCTAAATATCTCACTCATAAACTGAGGGGATGAAAACTCAAGTAGAGAAAAATTAATATTGAATAGGAGGTGAAATGAATGGGAAATCAGAAGCTGAATTTAAAAGGCTGTTTCAGATTAGTAATTTTGGCACAAATCCAATGCTACTATTATAAATTAAAGCTATCGTGCTTTCTCTTCAATATGCAGGTATATGATTAGAATAATGTCTTTATTTAGAAATATACTATTACATTTCATAAGACCTGCTATCTTACAAATGTATACTAGATTCTAATCTAAAACTTTTATAATAATTAAAAGGTAGTATTATTCATTTCACTGATAACCTATTTTTCTCCAAGTGATATCCTTTATTTAATCTCTACAATAATTATAGGGGACAGGTAAGATTGAGAGTGGCTAAATGGTCTGTTTTCACTGAATTAATTCATAATTGGTTGGCGTACAATAATTGGGCAACCTATTCTTCTGTTAAAATCTGATTTGTAATATTGGGATGCAAAATATCCATATCTGAATATTTAATTTGGTTGGGTTAGATCTGGGGAGTCCCAGGTCCTAATCTCATCCAGCCATAAGGCTCATTGGATCTTTCTGGGTCAGTTGCTATGATCCATATTGCAAGACTGATGTAAAGATAAAATTTGGCAGCGGAAAAGCCATCTAAAGCTACCTTGTATCCCTAAAAGAAAGATGGGATGGAAATGTCATAAAGAAATAAAATGTAAAGAGACATAATAAAACTTATTCATATCAGTTATTTCTTCAGTTTATGCATCTTGTTCTGGAAGTGAAAGAGAAACACACAAATATGTATTTTGAAGGTATTTTTCCCCTTTCCATCTGTCCAAGTGCTGCCATTCTTGACTGAAACTAACACTGCCATTTCAGCTGGAAACCAGCATACTCCAAAGTTACACTGTTAGGTTTGTTTCTCTTACAAATCATAAATGCCCATCTGATAACTCTTCTGCTGTTTTTCTTAAACTATCAAAATCATTGGAAAATATACAGATTGCTTTTCATTCTTAAAGGCATCCAAGACTTGTAGAATAGTAGGGTGCTGATTCAGAGGTCTCCAAACTTGGCAACTTTAAAAACTTGTGGATGTCAACTACCAGAATTCCTCAGCCAGCATAGCTTTAAAGTAGTTTTAAAGTTGCCAAGTTTGGGGATCCCTATGCTGATTGAATGCCACTGTTTCTATTAATGAAGTGATAAGTGGAAACAAGCATTTCCTGCTCAATACTGAAGCTTTACATTTCTTTCTACTCAGTGCAGACTACCCTGATCTTCGCAAACATAACAACTGCATGGCGGAGTGCCTCACTCCAAACATCTATGCCAAACTGAGGGATAAGATGACCCCCGGAGGCTACACACTGGATCAGTGCATCCAAACTGGTGTTGATAATCCTGGACACCCTTTCATTAAAACAGTGGGCATGGTCGCAGGAGATGAAGAATCCTATGAGGTGAAACAGTTTGTATCATATCACAGGGTTTCTTCGACATCTTCATTTATTTCATAAAAACATTAGAGAATGATGGATGCATCGCAAATAGGCAGCTTTTTAGGAAGACAAGGAGGTCAGCACAAAATTCAAGCCATGGGATTAATCCTGGTATTTTGTTTTTGTCTTTGGGGAAGTTTGCTGGATTTTTTTTTTTTAATCTCTCTGGGTGAAATTTAGTGGGGGAAAAAACAGCATAAAAGACATACTCTGCATAACCATGTCTTGGATAATAAAAATGCAGCACAGAAGGGTAGAAAGTTAGCACCCACCCCTCCCCTAGAAGAATGAATTATTCTAGGAAATATTAAAAAGGCAGAATATTATACCTTCCTAGATGAGAAAGGGAGAAACATGCTCTTGGAAAGGAGCCCCCACCTTTGTTAATAGCCCCAGAAAGACTGGGCCATCATATCTACAAGACAAAAGGCCTTCAGCTCCAGGGTGATAGGATTAGCCCTCACTCAAGATCCAAACCAGGACAAAGTCATTAATCCATAATAGGAATTGCCCAACACCCTTTCAGAACATAACCCTCTTCATTACCTCATCACCCATCAAGATTCAACCAAGCCTGGGACACAGAGAACACAAGGTTAGCTGGACCCCGCATAGCCCCCTGTGAGTCTGACAACCAATACAATACATTTCTTGCAAGTCCCAAGAGAGGGTATAAATTTATCTCACTCTCCACTCCATGTGGTCATCTACCCAGAATGACATGTGCTTGATAGTTCTGCTTCACCATTAAACCATCCTTCCAAGCAGCCTCCATGTTTCCAGTGTCTTTCTCCCCACTTGGAACTGAACCCAGATGTACATTTCTTCCAACAGAAGGCAACATGTATTGGCTTCCAGTAGCTGACTTGTCTGCTCAGCTTAAAAATGAGCCCCTTGTCAATGAATTGAAACAAAAGTCTAATTGTAAAAGTATCCAGCTACTCTCACATGCGTGCACCTTCAGTGTTCAGCCACATGATCACAGAGACGTCTTCGGACAGTGGCTGGTTCTTCAGCTTTGAGCACCGCTCCCTAGAGCAGAAAACGACTAGCACATATGTGCGAGGGGAACCTTTACCTTTACTTTACTGTCACATGAAAGATCAGCTATGTAAATATCCACATTATTATGCATTTTCTATAGACAGTTAGATTATTAAATAATGGACAACCAGTGTCCAAACGAAAAGCTGAGATTTCAATACCTTGATAATACAAGCTTGTATCAATATACTTAGTTTAACAGGACACAGGAGGAGGCATCACAAAATCTAGATGGAAGCCTGTATATATATATATACATGTATATATATATATATATTTTTTTTCTTAAGTTTTCGCGGGTACTTACATGTATGGCCTTCAACTTTGTTCGGGTGTTTTCCCACGTCATTATAGTTGTGCTTTTAAAGTTGTAGCAACGTTTCAGCAGAATCTCATCTGCCATCATCAGGCTTCTGTATTGTGTCCGTCTGTGAGTCAGACTTTTACAGTGGTTTCAGATTTAAATTTGGGGCAGCCTATTGCTGTGCCAGAATGGTTTTTTCTTCATCCTGATTGGTTGGGAGTCTTGGTCTGTGTTTATTGGTCTCGGAGTTTGCTGTGTTCTGCTTGATTGGTGTCTCTAATATCTTCTGTCTGTTTTTTGGCTCTTGTTGTATCTTGATTGGCTGGCAGCATTGTGTTACTTTATTGGAGGTCTTTAGTGCAGCTTGGCTTCGGGTAAATGGACGGCTATCATTAGTTAGGAAGCTGGGTTTCATCTGGGTGCCTGGTTGGGATGTGTTTGAGCTGGAGGTATCAGGGGGGATCTGTTTGTGCCCAGGTGTTTGCCTGACTTGTGGTGTGGAGATTTTTTTGTTTGTGAGTGCAGGCTTCCAAATGATTGACAGCCTGGTGGAATCATCTCTTCTGTTCATGCTTTCTGGTCTTTTTTCAATCTCTATGGCTTCTCTGATGATTCTGTGGCTGGAATTTTCTATAGTGGCTAGGGTTTTGGTGCCATTGAAGTTGATGCTATGACCTGTGGCTTCCATGTGTTGGACTAGTGAGGAAGTGTGTTCCAGCTTTTTGACTGCATTTTTGTGTTCATCCAGGCGGGTGCTTATTCTTCTATTGGTCTGTCCAATGTATGTGGCCGGGCATGATGCACAGGGGACTTCGTATATGCCTTGGTTTTCCAGGTCAATTTTATCTTTGGGGTTGCTAAGGATGGCTGCTATTTTTCTGTCTGTTTTGAAGGCAGTCCTGATGTGATGTCTGTGTAGTACCTTACTAATTTTGTCTGTAGTACCTCTTATGTAGGGCAGGACAGCTGTTCCATAGGTCTGTTCATCTTCTGGGTCTCTATTATGTTTCAGTGTGTTTTTGTGGATCAAGCTGGTGATTTTGCTTTTGTGGAAGCCGTTGGCTGTCAGTACTTTAGTCAGGGTGCATAGTTCAGTCTTAATGTGTGTCTTGGTTGGTTAAGCAGTACATATATGTATATGTATATGTATATGTATATGTATATGTATATGTATATGTATATGTATATGTATATGTATATGTATATGTATGTATGTATGTATGCATGCATTTTTAATAAAGAATCCTCTTAAAATATTTATGCACTAATTTTCTGGGTCCAGAATAAGAACAATAGACTCTTATTTTATTTATTATCGTCACATAATAACAGAATCCAACACTTTAGTGTTTGGCAGAATAAAATAAGCAGAGGCAGCCCAGTGTCTCCTGGGTTTGCCTGAAGTATATAACAGAGTGATCAGATAAAACTTCTCTTTGCCAAAAGTTCCATAGCAGAGCTTGCACTGCTCCCCAGAAACAGGAGGAAATAAATAATTTCTGTAGATTTTCAAAACAAATGTTTCCAAAGTTTTATAGAGACTAGGAAAAGGTGGCAAACCTACTGTGAGTGTTCCTCTATTTTTTTCTCCTTATTAAATCAATGCAATGGAAGAAAGAGGGGTCTTAAAGTGTCTGGGAAATTTATTAAACAATAAAATTTTCTTTGGCACATTACAGCTCATTGTGCCCTGCCCTTTCTCATTTATTTCTTATTAAACTTGAACAAAGTAACCACAGTGAACCCTCTTAAAATGTGATAATGGGTCTTTTAGTTTTTGCCTTTGTTTAGTAGTTCCAAGAACAACCTTGGAATCTTGTTTGGCAAATATCTTCCTTTCTATTTAAATATGCTCTGTGATATTTTAGGTATGGAATACCAAAAGCATTTCTTAAACTTGTTTTTGACTCCAGATTCCTTCCCATTTTCAAAAATTATGGAGGACCCCAAAACAGCTTTTGTTTGTATGAATTATATTTATTAATATTAATTATATTAAAAATTAAAACTGATGCATTCACTGCTTCTAACACTTCTCATTATTGTTTGATGGGATTAGTGTATTACTTTTCAGCATAGGCTGGCAAATAATTTTGATTTGGTGGACCCCTGACAGGATCTTGGGGACCCTGTGTCCATATTTTAAGAAACATTGATCTAGAAGATGGTCAATGGTTCAATACAGCATTCAGACTACAAAGTAAACCACCCAAGAATTTCCCCCTCATCCCCAAGTCTAGGTCCTGCATCAATCACCTATCAGGGTGGTCAAAGTTTTATTTTCCCAAAATGCTTGAAGCCAAAATATAAATGAGGCTAGCTAATCAATACATTGTAGAATTCCTGGAGCTGAGATACCACTACAGTATGCTTGAGGATCTTGTTCAGGAAGGCAAACTGCAATTTGTTAAAAATTATTCAAAGAAGTACCAAGAAAATTAACAATGTGTGCGGTGGTTTTATATTATTGAGAATTTTGGGCATTTCTTCAGACTGATTTATGAGCATAGATAGCCTGAACAAAATAAATAATCTACAAAATAAATGATTAAAAAATAAAAATAAATCGCATGGGGGGGAAACTAAATACAAAGTAATATACTTTATTGACTTGACAGGTATTTGCTGAGATTTTTGATCCTGTTATCAAAGTAAGACATAATGGATATGACCCCAAACTAATGAAGCATCGTACTGACTTGGATTCTTCAAAGGTAGGACCTAACTTAAGTCTTAAAGAGGAAAGAAAAAACTGAAGAAAACTGGTTTGAGAATAGCAGTAAAAGAATATTATGGTTGATAATAGTATTTCAGTACTACCTTCTCAAAAATTATTTTACGACAGCTTAGAAGGATAGGACCAAATAAAACATACCACAAGCCAAACCAGATAAAACTCCCTTAACAAACTAACAAAAATATGTGCTACATTAAAGCAACTATAGGATACTCAGCGAGTGTCCTCTTAGCTCTGTAAACAGTATAACCCACATGTGTCTGCACTGTGTGTTTTTATTGTGCCATCTGTCCCAAAGCTGCTATGGGATAGGAGGTAATTCATATGGGAGATATGACATGCATATTTTGCAGTTATATAAAGTATACAAGTACCTTTATTCTGGATAGTTACACACTTTTCCCAGGTTTAAAATGAAAAACAACAACACCCTACTAAATTTCTGACTGAAATACTCTTAGATTCTACTTGCTTTATTTCCCAGATTTGTTCCTTCACTTCAAAATCTAAAGCCACGTTTCTCCATATTGCTGTCCAGCCACTTCAGAGCTTTTCCCTGAGTTACAAATAATATTGGTATTCTTGCTGCATTTATTTCGTGTCAGGATGTGTATTCTCTTGTAACCTTGTGTTTTGTAAAACAGAAAACAAGGTATCTGCAAAGAAAGGGGGTGGAATTAAGATGCGGATACAGCTCCAAAATTGAAGTCTGCTCCTTTTACACATGCCATAATCCCTGTAAAATTGGGGCCAGGGCTTTGACAATGATCATGGTTTCCATATTGACTGTTTTAACTTGCTAATCTTGATACCACACAACTGGCTGAGATAAGGATTAGGGTTCTTTCTCACCAAAATATCTGAGGCTGATCCTGAGTATCCTTGGGTATAATTCACAACTGTCTCAATATATTTTCAAACTCTTTGATTTTGGACAGATTGCCCAAGGACAATTTGATGAGCGTTATGTTTTATCCTCCCGTGTACGCACGGGACGAAGTGTTCGTGGCCTGAGCCTCCCTCCCGCCTGCTCCAGGGCAGAGAGAAGAGCTGTTGAAAACGTTGTTGTCACTGCCTTGTCTGGGCTGAAACAAGACCTTGCTGGAAAATATTATAGCTTGACAACTATGTCTGAAAAGGAGCAACAACAGCTAATTGATGTAAGTTTAATGCCAAACCTGAGCATAGGTAAGAAGGCTATGACTAACAATGTGAAGAGTCTTTCTTGAAGTAACTCCTGGAGATTACATGGACATGGTTATGAGGACATGGAAGTAACTGTCCTTGCATTCTTCTGGGCCTTTCAGTTTCCCAGTTTTGTTTATAATTCTGAGTTTTCCTGAGGTTCTACAATAATTCTGCTTGGATTTTCTGAGATCAACCAAAGTTGGTTAGGCTGGTTAGGTAAGAGAGTTACTCTGGGGCAAGCAGGTTAATTTGGTTTTGATAGGATTAGACAAAGAGAAGAGCTGGTATTCACCCTGTCATGTTTAAAAGATCAGGAGAAAACAGAGTCTTCATTTTGTTGGTTAGATTTATTTTCTTCACCACACTAGAATATAACAAACTATTCCTTGCCTGTTGAATATCAATCAATCAACATTTTCCAGCTGTAATTGATTTTTCTTCCCCCTCATCACAATATAAGCAAATTATGCATTCTGACAAGATCCAAGCAATATTAAACACATGCAAATATATATTCACACTAACATAACTCTTTTATTTGTGGAATTCTGAAAATAATATCATACCCTCAGATAACTCTAGAAAGTATGCAAGAATTCACAATCCATTGATTTAAAAATATTTATGTGAGGGCCTGGGTAAAATGAGGGTTAAAAATAAATGTAAAGATAAAATGCAAATACACTGCAATCCTAAGAACACTTAGGAAATGTGTTAATGAACAGACTTGTAAGTACACATAAAACAAAACTGAGTTGTAATTGAGGATTAAACAGAAAGGAAGAGCAGAATTAATCAGCAAAAGCAATAGAAAAAGATTAGAATAAATTAGTTTTTTATTTCTATTGTTATTTTAATAAGCCTTGTGTCTTATTTGTGAGTATTGATTAATTAAATATTAAGTAAAAGCAGCAGGTATGACTCAAATCTTATTTTATGATTCCTTAAAGTTAATTTAACTCTATGTTGAATTTAAATGTATTAAGCATAATTTAATTTTATTTTAAAATACTTTTAATACTTTAATAGTTTCTTTCTATTAATGCTTTACAAAACCTTAAAACTACATGAAATTAAAAACATAGTCATCTATATTGGAAACACAGCCTTTTATTTCCAGGGGAAAAAAACAAGTATTATTTTTCTGCACTCTTCACCTCTGTGAACTGATTCATCATTATAATTCAACTTTTTTCTTTTTCTTTTCTTTCCCTCTGCCTTGAATTATGCTGGTCTCCAGGACCATTTCCTATTTGATAAGCCAGTTTCCCCTTTGTTAACGTGTGCTGGAATGGCCCGTGACTGGCCAGATGCCAGAGGAATATGGTACGAAATATGAGCTGTGCATGTTTTCAATGTGAACAAATAATTATACTAGTTTCTAACTCAGTTGCTACTATTCCTAATTCTGAGCACATTTGGCATACACAGTCTCTTCTTCCAGTACATAATCTTTAAGCTTGCAGTCAGCAATATTTTGGGGGCCATGAGTGACCAGCTGTCAGAAATTTGGATGGGTGACATGAGAAAGGAGAATTCAGGAATGTTGTTTTTGTTTTGTTTTGAATAGATGACTATTCCAGAGCTTACATTACAATGTCTCATTCTTTCTCACCTCAATATGGCAGGAAACCACTTTGAATTTTCATCAATCATGGTCAGAGGTAATACCAAGGACCACCAAAAAGGATGTTTTTAAGGCTGCCCATGGCCCTGGGCCTTTTTTTTTTTTTTAATTAAAAACATCTGTGATCAAAGAGGCAACAATAACAAATAAAAAAAAAGAAAAGACATTGGGGATTTGGATCCTTTTCTTTGTTTCTATTTTTAATTGTCAAGAAATGGCTAATAAAGTCCATAGATATATTCTGGGGCATGATTTCATTACCTTGCTTTCACTAATGCATGTGTGTGTGTTTTATGTTTTATCTTTTTTGTTTTACGAACAAAACTGCTTTATTTAATAAAAGAAAGTAAATAAAGAAAATTGCTTTCTTTAATAAAACAGTGATAATCAATGTTTTGAAACTTCTTGTACAGGTGAACTATTTTATACTTTTTAATTTCTAAATTAGATTCTAAATTTGAATCTAACAACATGTAAAGTGTAAGGTATGTGTTGCAGTTCTTGAATTATCAATTCCTTTCTATGCTCCATTAGCACATTTTTTCATCATGTTTTAATGTAAAATGTTTGAAATAAAAAACTACATGAGCTATGAAATGAAATGTTTTTATACATTTCTATTACAATGTCTATATTCAAAGGAGCTACTATTTTGGTTAAAAGTTTACAATCAAGTACAGTGGAACCTCAGATTGCGACTAATCTGTTCAGTTGCAATCCGATTTGGTCGTGACCAGAAGCACGACCGACTGCACATGCACGGACGGACTGCATATGCACAGAAGGGGAAATTGCCACAGCAAGGGAACCTGCAGCCAGGTTTTTTTGCCATCTGATTTTTGAATCGTGACCCGATTCTAAAATTGGGTAGATTTTTTGGTTGGAACCTGATTTGATTGTGAACAGGAGTGTTTGTGACCCAAGATTCCACTGTATAGGTATCAGAATGTACAGCTCTTACTATACTGGTAAGTGAACTGAGAATAGCTATCAAACTCTGTGATGGTTATGTTTAAGTTCAGTTTGTAAAAATATTGACCATTATGGCACAAGAAGCAATAATGGAGTTTGCTATTTATGGTTTAGTATGATGAGCAAATCCATCTTGTTAAAACATGGATTGTTTTAAATTTAAAAACATTTATAGGTTTTTCATTGGTTTATTACTTTTTTTTCCAATCATACTTTGTATAAAGTTTGAACTAAGATATGTGATTGGTTTGCTGTTTCCTAACACATAACTGCATACTTGTCTGCCAAAATACACATGAGGAAGCTAAATGTTGCTGGACAATGAAAGCATTCCTAAAAAGCACCTGCTGTCACTTGCAGCTTGCTAAAACTCATCCTTTGTCTATTATATACAGAAGTTGGGAATAAATCCTGTTCTTCAATCCTTCCTTCAGTCTCAGTGCTGAACCCTTACTTTTGCAGAAGCTGCTGCCGATTTCATGTATGAAAACAAAACCGAGGCCTCTCAAAAGGGAGCACTGTTTTTAAAAATAACATTGTTTTCTTTTGAGGTTGAAATTAAAGAGAACAGCAAAATATCATGCATAGAGTAGTTACAGCCTCATTATCTGAAGAGAGAGAGGGAGCACAGGTTAATCGTGGTCAAACATCTTCCAGTAGACTTGCACGTTAACTACCTATCTAACAAGACTTTTCAAACTAGAATCGTATCTTCTATCTGCAATATTCTCTTATGTATCTATGCATTTTCTCCCCTCTCCCCTCATGTAGTTCAATCATAGGTACTATCAGGGGTGGCTTTCTACCGGTTCTGTCCACCTCTGTAGAACCGGTAGCTCTGAAGAGCAGCAGACATAGAACCAGTTTTTGCCCACCCACTCACCTGGGCTCTTACCTGACCTTTATTTCCTGATTTTTTCAACTTCAGCTGCCGTGCGAGGCACAGCTTCAGTTAAAAAAGCAGGAAAAAGGGGCTTTTTGAAAGGCTGCTTCTCTGCACGCAGCATGCTGATGACGATTTACAGGTGCGCCCGCAGCGTGCAGGGAAGCACATCGTAAATCACTGAACCTCGTAAATGACCAAACTGGTAGTTAACCCTGTTGGATCCCACCCCTGGGTACTATCAAACAGCCTTTCCCATATTCCAGTCATGCACCGCTGGGAATCTGCAACCCTTTTCAAGCTGAAGTCAGCATTTGGTCTCTGGGTGACTTTCTCAGTCCTGCACTCTCAAAGTTGGCAAATTCAGGTCAAAGAACACAAATGAAGCATGATGTTATATTATTTTGTATAATAACTTAGAATAATTAAATATAAAGAATATAAATATTCTTCATATATTGAACAATTATCTTGTTCATCACATTCAAATTAGAATCTCAATTTTACACTGACAACCAATATGAAGCTCTGCAAATTGCAGGACTAGTTATAATGCTGCTGTTCAGGCACCTAATGGATGTTTTCCTCAATATTCTTAAGGAATTTTCTACATTGTTTGCTAATAAGAACATTTGATACCCTTGGGGATGATTTCTATTATTGTTCTGAAACTTTCTTTCCTCTTAATGAGCTAAATTATATCTTGGTTTGCTAAAGAGCCACTTTTATTATACTGTAATAGAGCAGTAAAGGTTGCTTATTTTTTTGGCCCTTTTGCTGGATGGCATAGCTGTTCCATATAGTTCAGTATCTCTGCTAAAATGTTAATGAAAGCAACCAGGTCAGTACTGCTCATAAACAATTGTCATCAGGTAAAATCAGTTGGCTCTATCCTAACTTGGACTTCAAACTGGGACAGATCACAGAATATAAATTTAGCAATTAATGGTTCTGCTTATTCTTCCAAAGAACGTACACAGATATGCAGTGAGATGATGTCTATCACCTCTTCATTTTCCTCTTGCCCCTTTTGGAAATCAATTTGATCAGGACAGGATTGGTTCCATGGTTAAGATATGTGTTCAATATGTTCTTCTTTTAGGGATGTGTTCTCTCTACCTATAGAAGGCAGTAATAAACCCTTTATTGGAGAAAAAGCTTTATTAACCTGGGGATATATATAATGCTTCTTTTTTTGGAAAACTGATTAGAAGATTATGGCCTCCTAGCTCCAGGTGTGTCTGAATAATACTGAGTAATATTGACTTTCTGGATTCCCTTTAAAAAGGCTAGGATCTTGTGTTGAAATTGTTTGGTATTTATAGACTTCCTATGTTGAAAACTGGGCGAGGGAGTACAATTATACTAATTTTCCTGGGCTTCTGGTTGTTTTTAGTACCATCAACAATAATATCTTCCTGGGTTGTCTGGTGAGATTGAGCCATGGGCATCATTTTAACATTGTCTGATCAACCCTTTAGGTGTGTCTAGAACAGGGGTGTCAAACTCGATTTCATTGAGGGATGCATCAGGGTTGTGTTTGACCTCGGGGGGCTGGGGTAGGCATGGCTTGGGTGGGCATGTCCAGTATGACACCACTTGTGTTGGGGAGCACCTGTGGTGGTCTGAGTGCTCTACCAGAGAAAACTGGCTCCTGAGAGCCATTTTTGGCTGCAATGGCCTCCTACAACCCTCTGCCAGTGAAAATGGAGCTCAGAGGGGCACGTGTGCCCTCGCGAGCTCCATTTTCAGCTGGAATAGTATTCTGCAAACCTCTGCCAGCAAAAATGGAGCTTGAGAGGGCCATGCGCAGCCCTTGCAAGCTCTGTTTTCATTGGCAGAGGCACTGCGGGCCGGTCCTTCACTATTTCCAGGGCAGCCCCATGGGCCAGATCTATGTATCCCCACAGGCCAAATCTGGCTCCCAGACCTTGAGTTTGATACCCCTGGTTTAGAAGGTAGTGCTGGGAAAATGTTGTTCAACATTTCATGAAACTGTAGAGGGAACTTCATGCTAATATCTTCTAGCCCTATTGCTCTTTATTATTTACTTCACATTGCCTAATCCTGATAATGGGCTATATGATAAATCAGCCTGAAATTAAACCAGACAAGTATAAGTATTGTTGGTTGATAAAAACTGAGCATGGATATTGTTGTTTCTGCAGTTTTGGGTGGGGTTACTATTATCTATTAAACAGCAGGAGATTTTGACAGTTCTCTTGTTTTTCCATTCTTACTACATTTGCTGGTGGCAGCTATGAAGCTAAAAACCACCTTTGCACAATCACTCCTATTGCACTCGGCCATTTCTTCTTAATCAGTAGAATCTGGTGCAATGTCATAGTTATTGCAGTGTAGTCCTTTAAAGGTACCTTGCAGTATGCTATAAGGTTTAGCATTGCAGTTAGTCTAATGTTGTTTTACTTTTTCTATTTTATTGATCTCACTTTGAATTGCTCAGGGTTGTGGTTTATAAGATGGACAACCATGTTAGCCTTTAAAATAAAAATAAACTGTATAGAGCTCCATCGCTTTCAAGAAGAGATTGGACTGCCATTTGTCAGAAATGGTATAGGGTCTCCCGCTTGGGTGGGGGGTTGGACTAGATGACCTACAAGGTCCCTTATAACTCTGATTATCTGTTATCTGTTAGATATACAAGTATAGAATCTGAGAATCTGCTGTACTGTCCTAGATGCAAAGTCCTAGATTCATATGATGCTTGCACAAAACAACCCGCATTAATTGGCCAACTTTTTCTTCTACTTCTTTTGTTCTTAGAGACTGTTTGCATACATCCCTGCAATTTTCTTGGCAAGGCTTTTCTGAAGTGGTTTGCCATTGCCTCCTTTCCTAGGGCTAAGAGATAATGACTGGGGCCAAGTCACCCAGCTGGCTTTGTGACTAGGCTGGGATGAGAACTCATTGATCTCCCAGTTTCCAGCCTAATGCCTCAATTGCTAGAACAAGCTGGGTCTCACCAACTGTTTACCAGCCTTCGTTTAATGTATTTATATTGATTGAGCTTTTAAGCCTTAAGCAACTTAGGATCTGACTATCCAAATTTTTACTTCATATGCTGCAAAACTGTCTTATTGTTAAGACCTGCCCAGGAAATTCTTTTGAAGATGTTGCTACTGTCAGAAGTTTTCTTTAATCCTGTTACTTCCAGGCTTGCCAGTTGCAATTGCCCACTGCCCCAATATTTAGAAAATCTGCCAAGACACATCATTTTCTTCAAGCGATTGCTACATGATTTTATTTATTTACTGTTGGTTTCAAATTTATATTTTAAACCTCTTATGTTCTAGTTTTGTTTGTAAAACTTTTAAGCTGCCTCAAATGCTCACTAAATCAGACAAGCTGGGTAATAAATCAAATACATAGGAAATTAATTAGTCCCAGCTGCACTGGGAAGAGAATTTAAGATATATTTTTCTTTTGCCTTACAGTGTTCTGAACACTGGCAGGGAATGCCAAAGAAATTTCTATACCAACCCTCTGTAACAAGACTAGCAGCAACAAGCAGATCATGTGTGAAGTCAACTGACACTAAAGTGCTGCTAAAGCAGGCGGGATGTCAGATTGTGTGGGCAGAACAGGCAGGGAGAAAACAATCCAAGTCTCAAAGGTGCCAGCTGATGAAGCATCTTCAGCCATTCAAAATGCAACCTTGGACTTTGAATTAGAAATCTTAAGAGTATTGCAATTTATCTTGGTAGAATGAAATAGAAACATTTTCAAAGAAAAGAGTGGAAAAATATCCAGCCTCTGTTTTATTATATTCAAAACCTTCACTTGTCTGCTTCATCAAGTTTTAAATCATATTAAAGATAAACATAATAAACAAATGTTCCCCTTAAACCAATGTTTTCTTGCATGATTATATGATATTCTCCATTATTTTAATTCTTATTCTCTAACGTGTGCTACTCATCCTGTCACAAGTAATAATATTAATACCTAGAAATCTTGTGGTCATCCCTTTTCATATTATATAATTATTTTGGCACTCCTGCTATAAAAAAAAGTTTGTGTATTCCCTGCGTTGCCACATCCAAGCTGATGGCACCCCAGTACTCTGACAATGCTTTTTGCAATTTCCATTAAATGATCTCTTAAGGGGTTTTAAGAGAGCAACTGTTATTTCCTTGTGCAGAAGTAATATTACTCTCTAGTAAAGAAGGAACAACTTTCCAAAGAAAGCCTTAGGCATTATCTGGTGCAATGTTTCTTAACCTTTGCAACGCTAGGCTGTATGGACTTAAATTCCCAGGATTCCTCAGCCACATTCTGGGAGTTTTGGGATTTGAAGTCCGCACATTTAAGGTTGCCAACCTTGAGAAACACTGACTCAATGGGCTTAGCTTTATGCTGCCCTGAATACCTTGATTACTTTAAAGAGAATGGACAGAATGCAGAAGACACTCCTCTCAAACAACATGCTATTTCTGACCCAGATGCTATTTATACCTTGAAGTAGGGCTCCCATCTTTACTGGAATTTCCTCCATTTCTGTACCAGTTCTTCCCTGGATTTTTCAACAAACAAGTTGGTTTAGAGAAAATTTAGTTAGAGATGATGTTTCTCCCATCATTCCTATTCCATAATGTTTTAAACTTGAGGGACAGATTCATCTTCCAGTCAAAAAGCACCCCCATGCTTTCCCATTTCCAGTTCCCATAGCAGCCCAAGCCTCATGATACCTTTGTTTCAAAATGTTCTAGTACAGCAGCAGTTTACTACAAGAAGGATTAGAGCTGTATGGTATTACTTTCTAAATAACTTTGGAAATTTGAAATTGAGGAATGCAACTTTGGAGAATCTTGAGTTACCCTTATTTTTGATGCCACCATGAAAGTCCCAACATGATAAATAACAAAAGGAAAAGGTAAAATGAAAGGACCAGAATCTCTGAAGATGGTTCAGAAACTCTGAAGGTTTCTGTGACCAGAACACTAATGAATTGTGCATATCTCTCAACCAGGCACAACAATGATAAAACATTCCTCATCTGGATCAATGAAGAGGATCACATTAGGGTGATCTCCATGGAAAAAGGCGGCAACATGAAGCGGGTTTTTGAAAGATTTTGTCGTGGATTGATAGAGGTGGATGCTTTTCTTTGACTGTTAAAAATGAATTTTTAGATTTTAATAAATGATCCATTTGTGCTTTTATGTTATTGCTGCTAATTTTTCTTTTTATTATATGTGATACCATTTGAGTAAAGCAGGACCCTCTAGTAGCAGAGTTAGGGCGCTTTAAAGTAGAGTGAGGTAATTGCTACAAGCAGCAAATACCGCATGTGTGTGTGTGTGTATGCTTCCATGTTTGTCAGACAGGATGGTTAAAAAATAGGAAATATTGCCATATTTTTAATTACAGCAATTAATTTACTATGCCTATATGTTTAAATTGTGACTGAACCAGATTTCAGTTTAATAGGAGGCAGGGTTTAAAGTTTTACAAAGTAGAAGTGGCAAGAATTGTGTTAAAATGACCTCCACCTCTCTGTGCGATAAAAGCAACTCTTCTAACATGCTGCTTTCAACAAAATATATTGTATTATTTTTAGATATGTATGTGCTATTTGTTTAGGTTAATCATCATAAGCAAATTACATTGTTTATTGTATTAAAAGATGGGATAAAATTCATAAAAAGTAAAAATATAGCTAGAAAAACTGAAATTGAACTGGTCAGTTTCTCAGCTGTGAAACATATATATATCTTTAAACAGCTGAGAAATCAAGACTATAAATTTTAGCACCCTTATCTCTAAATGGAAGCCCTGACTAAAATCAATAGTGTTGTCCTCTAAACTGAAACATGTAATGTGAAGATCTAATACAGGGTTATATCTGCCTCTGAAGCTTTAGCTTTATGGATTTATTTGATAGATAAAATGTCCTTTTTCTATCTGCAGCAGACTGTTGAAGCTTGTGAATTTGACAAACAACAGTCTGGATATAGACAACTAGTACTGTGCACAGATGGCACGTTAATATGCTAGGGTGATTCATTGAATTGTATTTCCTTTCCAGGTTGAGAGGTTAACTAAAGAACAAGGATGGGAATTTATGTGGAATGAACATTTAGGATTCATCCTGACCTGTCCATCTAATCTAGGCACTGGATTACGTGCAGGAGTTCATGTTAAACTTCCAAAACTTAGCAAAGTAAGTAAGCAATTTATATGACTCCTAAACATAAAACAATCTTTTGCGATGCCTGTAAAATCAATCCAGAAAAGTAAAACAGTGGTGACGTACCTCATTCCTCTTAAATGATTTAATTGGATGAACAAATGTTTACAAACATGCATGTTGTAAAAAAAAAAAGGCTCAGTATTTTTGTTTTCAGTAATTGTCCTTTATATTATAGGATCCCAGGTTTTCAAAGATCCTGGAAAACCTGAGACTTCAGAAGCGTGGCACAGGTGGAGTTGATACAGCGGCTGTAGCAGATATATATGATATTTCCAACCTAGATCGCATGGGCCGATCAGAGGTAAGTTTCTGCCAAGTTTTTTTTTCCAAAGGGGCCCATGCCGAAGATAAACAATTATTTGTCTAAGTGTCTGAATGTCTAGGGAGATTCTCGGTCATTCAGGTCATGGTTGTCCTAAAGGTGCTTTTTCAAGAGGCAACTGGACATTCTAGTTTTTCTTTGAAGATAAGAAGTTTCTTCAGCTCTCACTGGATGGTGGGAAATTTTGGACAGAGAGGACCACTGGTTTGAAAGAGGGGTTAAAGAGGCCATCTATGTCCAAATTGAATAACCCCCTCTCAACAGAGGGGGAAGGATAGAACATCATCTATCTCCGTCTACAGTACAGTCCTTTCAAAAGTGCAAGAAGGCTACACACCCATTTTCACCACTTAGGTGACCCTGATGACACAGATAAAATTTATAGTCTTATCTGGTAGCCTAGCTTTCCACAAAAATTATTTTAAAACTCAGAAGTAAAAACCACACCAATGGCTCTTTTCAGTTAGGTTTTATCATACATAAAAAGATCTTGAAAAAATATACACCATTCCATTTATTTTACACGTCATTTTCCTCAGAGGCTACAGTTACAAAAAACATACCAAAAATCTTCCTCCAAACAGAAGAAAACGCCAGAATCACAGATATGTGAAAACCCTTATTCAGCGAAATGTGGTCCGTAGTTGCCCATTAGAGACATGGAAAATGATATATAATTAAACCATGGATAATGATAGCTACCTGTATAATTAAACATCCATATGCAGTATTTATACATGGAATAATATTTATTCAGAGGAGGACAATTGATTACAGAAAACTAAGTGTAGAATTACAACCCGAGTTGAATATTTCTGCCCTTAATTGTAAGGTTTTCCAATGCTGTTAATTCTTCACCCTTTTGATTTCTCCTATTTTAAGGACCACTGATCCAAATAAAGATGAATATTAGTGTTCTAGTGGTTTTTTTTTTTTAAATAATCATGCCCTCAACTCAAATAAGCAAATTTTGGGCAGAGGTACCCCTTCATCCTTATGCACCAGATCTCAGAGACACACGCCCGGCCCTCCTACTCCTCCAGTATCAAATTATGGAGGAGGGAGATCTTATTACTAACTTGGCATTCAATAGAACCAGCAAGAATTGCTCTAGCACTCAGACCTCAAGTTGGAACAGAGAAGCTGGAATTCATGGGCATGATCCAGATCTCCTTTCCTCCTTCCCTGTTATGGGTCCCCCGCCCCGCTTGTATTCTCTTCAGAAGATTGCCATCTTTATGCCAACTTTCCTGGGCTTTCTTCTGCTGAAGGCTTTTCATATCTAAACTAGTACTTTCACATATAACAACTGTGTTAATCTAGCATTTCCACAATTTAGGATTTTTAAAAGACAAAACAAAGGACTATATACTATTACCATGTAAAGGCTTTAACTGAGAAGCAAGCTACACACACTTTTTTTTAAAAAATTTTTGCAGATTAACTATTTCTAGATTTAACCACCTTGTATTGCAGGTGTATGCTTGCACTTTTCTTCCATGTTCTAACTTAGTTTTCTTCCACGTGGCCAATTAGTATGGCAAAATGACAAGAGATGGATTATTCACAATACACTTTTCTCCTAGAACCAAGAAATGGCATAGTCTAGGAAGAATTGTAAAGTATAATTTGCTGAAAACATAATAAACTATTATCAGAAACCTTTACTTTTATTTCAGGTGGAACTTGTTCAGTTAGTCATTGATGGCGTGAACTATATGATTGATTGTGAAAAGAAGCTGGAGAGAGGTCAAGACATCAAGATACCACCACCGCTGCCTCAGTTTGGCAAGAAATAAAACTGCTTCCAGTTATAAGCTGATTGAAAATATGTCTAGGGGGTGACTATGTATTCTGTGTTGCTTTATAATATTAAAGAGAAATATGGACATTTTTCCTCAAATAGGTACCTATTAATCAGGGTGTTGGACAGGTTTGCTGAGAAGAAGACAAGAACGTAAGATACGAAAATGTGCAGAATACAAATGGTTATACATATCACTGCTGAAGAGTAGGGTTGCATTTGAAGATTAGAAGTCTTGGAGCATTTCCATGTGAAGTTTAATTTCTTTTAAAGTATACATATTTCTTTATTTTCCTTTCTCCAACTATTTCTTCCAATGTCCTGATTCCATTCCTTTTGTTCACATTTTCATCTTTCCTTAATCCTTCCTCTTACCCAGCTCCATTCCCCCGTCTTTTTTTTTTTTTGCTGTTTCTGGACACCAATATGCTTGACAGAGTGTAGTTTGTGCACATTAATTTGAATGGTTGTTATAGATATATGGGAGCCAAATGTTACAAGCAAAGTACTAGTTATTACAAGCAATGCATTTTACTTTACACTTTAGCTAAATTCAATGCTTTTATTTATTCCTGGCAGGCATAGACACACATGCATACACATATACAAAAATGTGTCATATGCACACATTTATTTGACTGTGGGTGGGTGGACGGCAATTCCAAGATTGGTTTCAGATGGCGATGGCAACTTTTGACTGGCAAGATGAAGAATTTTTATAATTTTTTCTCTGTATACTTTATTTGAGTACGGAAAAAAGTATGTTAAATATTGGTTGTTTTCATTCAAAGCATAAATTAATGTAATATATTATTATATGTAAAATTAGATCTTAGTGGCATGTTAAATAAATACTTCATGATGCCTCAGATGCTACATATCTTTTCAATTCATTTTTAAAAAGACATGAGTTATTCATATAGACAACCCTGTGGCTTTGGCATAAGGGTATTATCCCAGCCTCACACTTGTGAGATCCCGGAGAGCAGAAACAGAGATGAAGCAGCTATGCCAGGGTCTTTTGTCACAGTACCCATGGGCAATGTCACTACTCATCAATAACAGTAATTCCAGTTATGTTCCCTCATGGAATTAATGCAAGGAGTTAAGGCTCTAAATGAGAATGTTACAATGATGTCACACTGCCTGAAATATGTGTATATTTCATGCAGAAGTCAAACAACCATATTGCTATTGTTCTGCTTAATCCCCGACAGGTACTTGCAATTTCACCCTTCTCAGTTTATTCAAATTAGTTAATTTTTGTTAATTTGCTGGTACCCTGTGAGTTTGGTTATTTTCCTGATATTTCATTACCAGACTAACTAACACTATCAGTGCACAGCAGTGGTGGGATTCAAAAATTTTTACTACCAGCTTGGTGGGCCTGGCAGGGGAAGGATAGTGTAAAATTTCCAGTCAGAGGTGGTATTTGCCGGTTCTCCGAACTACTCAAAATTTCCACCACTGGTTCTCCAGAACCGGTCAGAACCTGCTGAATACCACCTCTGGTGCACAGAGGATGGAGTTTGTTGGTTTATATATTTTAGCTTGCCTTGCCAGACACTATCATCCTATGCACCTATGATGCTACCTAATCTTATGATGAAATGTCTGCAGGAAAACAATCAAGCTCAGAAGCCACCAAGACTCCAATAGTTCAACCCTGAACTAGGTATGGTTCTACATCACTATTGGAGATGTAGGCATGTCTGTATGTTTGTGTGTGTGAGAGAGAGAGAGAAAGAGAGAGAAGGAAGGAGAGGCAGAAATTAACAGATCTAGAAAGCCTCTTTGAAGGTGAACAAAAGCAATTGGAGAGTATATCCTCAATTGGATGCTACTAATGTGATCCTTTTCAAGTATCACACATTTACTCAATAATCAGTTGAAATCAGTAAAATGTATTTCTGAATAAACATAGAGTAATAGATAAGATACATTTCTATTAGCGCTGACCTGAATTTTAAAAACCATCAGATATAACTTCTGGTGTGTTGTCTGTAAACTCAACACAAAATAACATTTATAATTCACATCTGCTAATGTCTTTTATGCTTAGTAAGAAATAAAATCTATTGATTTAAATTATATTAATTTTCAAAAATGCTTATTTGAAGCCAAGTTACAAATTAGGATTATGTTACTGATTTTTATTCAAACAGATATGAAGTGAGATACAAGTTGTTTATTAATTGCATTTTTAAATCTTTTTTTCTCATGCTCTATTGAAAACAGTCATGAGCAACCAGATAAAATTTATATTGAGATATTATTTTATTACACCAATACAAAAGACTTCATTTGATTACAAGATATTGCACATGCATTTTATTTTTCAAGAATGTTTCATCAAGCATAATGTTCTGTGATGTGCAGATAGACTCTCATGCATATGTGATAATAAGCAAATTAGATAGCAGTGAAGGAACCTAGATTCCCGAAGCTACTTATCTGGTGTATCTTCACCTCACAAAGCTTTGTTTTTTTATCACTCATTCCTATGGCTAGTTTTCAATGAACTGTTTATATCTTAACCAAGTACATCCTGTTTTGGCTTCTGCTATAAATCATCACATGGAGTGCCACAAGGGTAACAGCTCAAGTGTTTTTCAGAGAAAAGAATCTGGTGAAAATGCATTGCAGGAAGCAAAACAACTCAGAAGTCTTGCCAAAGATCCAAGGAACATGCAATTATATCTTAATTTAAAAAAATATGGGTTGGAAAGCTTTTTTTTAATTTTTAAAAATGAATCCTGATCTGGTATGATTTCCCTATTTCTCTGATAGTCTGTTATTCTGATAGAGATGCTAAATGCTAAATTTCCAATTATCTAAAATATAGACAACAAAGTACAAAAGTTTGTTGTTATTTATATCAATTAATCTGGGAGACATTGGGCTTCTATCAGTTTGATTCTGAGGAGTAGATGGTATTACTAATGTTAGATTGTATTAGGCAAACCCTCCAATATACAGTTTGTTTCTTGATTTCAGTAGTCTTAAATGGATAGGCTAATTATTTGAAAACTATTTGCAACTGGTGATAGAAAAAAATTGAACCAGGTAACATATAAAATTAATTAGGAGAATTATTTCTATATAAAACCTAAAACATTTGTCTTTTGTATATACTTTTTATGGGTATGATAAGAGACAAGATTCCTGTTTTAGATTTTACATAGGTAAATTCTTCTTCATTGGTAATAACTAGGAAATGCGTATGAAAGTTGTGCTACAAATATTTTGATATAGAAAAATATACATTATTCTTCTATAATTACATAAGAATATGCTGTGCAAGGAAGAAAGATACTGATTGTTGTGAGAAACATAATTAGAATGCTCAGCTAGGAGCATAATCAGATTTTTGAAAAATATATTATTTGTCTTTTATTAATAAAATATGATTGCAGTTTGTATTTTTATGAACAGGAACATAGAAACATATGGACATATATATATGATTTGAACAAGTCTGCCCTCATGGAACAAAATATAAGATTAAATCAAAAGTAATACTTAAAGAACCTATCAGTTGAATAAGCAACAGCTACAAATGAACTTTTTTCCCTGCAATACTTAAAGATAACTTTTATATTTTATTTAAATACATGCTAAAACAAAGGGGGGGGGGGAAATCTGAAATTCTGGAAACCTGTCATTTATGTAGCTTTTGGGAATTGTATCTCCTTATATAACATCTCTCTCTTCCCTACTATTAACGGAGCTTTAAGTCCAAGATTTTTCAGTATATTAATCCTAGCCATTTTGTATCTACTACCCATGTATGCAGAATAGAATGATATTGGCACAAATTATGATTGATTATTTCAAAACTACATCAATTTTTAATTGTATGCATTCAATCAAGTGTTTCCTTTTCCTGATATCTTCTTTCATATTTCCTATGCTTTCATCTGGATCAGGGATGTCAAAGTCAATTTCATTGCAGGCCACATCAGGGTTGTGTTTGACCTTGGAGGGGGGGGCAGGAGTAGGCATGGCCAGAATGGTGTGGCCAGCTCTATATCATTCATGTCGGGGGTACCTGCAGTGGCCTGAGCACTCTGTCAGAGGAAACAGGCTCCCGAGCTCCATTTTCGGCTGCGATGGCCTCCTGCCATCCTCTGCCCATTGACAATGGAGCTCAGGAGGGCGGCACTCCCTAGCTCCATTTTCACTGGCACAAGCATTTCAGGCCAGTCCTTCAGTGTCTCCAGGGCAACCCCACAGGTCGGATCTGGCCCCTGGCCCTTGAGTTTGACACCCCTGACCTAGATTCATACTCTCTATTTAGGAATTGCTTTGTAGATATCATTATCCCTTTTTTTCATTTCTTTTATTCAATCTTATCAACCCTGTGTATCTTCATTTAAAAATGTGATTTTCATATATTCTCATGACTTATATGGCTAGGGAGCATGTGGCTAATTTCACAGTCCAAAGGACCCTGTCCACTTCCTCAGGTCCAGCAGGTTCAAATCATTGTCAAATAACCAGACAAAACCCCTCCATCATCTATCATTTCATCTTCCTCAATCTCTGTAAACCATGGGGAGTGCTAGGATCCCTGAAAGGGAGATGTCATATGTGTGAAATCTGATCTAACGCCTCAGCTGTCCCTTTTTATTCTAAGTGACAACTAAGGACTTGTATAGACTGTGCAGCAAACCAATAGGCACAACTCCCAGCTCCCTCTGAAAGCCATTCAAGTTCATTAGTCACCAAAGATAGATCAATCTAATGGATCCAGCCTCCCTACAATGGATAGCAGTGCCAGACAATCCCATGGTAATCAAGGCATGATGGAACCATGCCAGAAGCTCCTCCAAGTTGAAGATCATATAGCCACTGCTCTGATGGGAATACCAAAACAAGCATGTGACTGATCTTCTGTGTCAGGCTATGAATGATGTGAGATAGGCCTATGGCGATTATGGTGGCTATGAACACCTGGGAAATCTTAGACCACATTATCAGGAAAGGCATATTGAAGTTCCCCAAGACTGTAAGTCTAGAGAACTCCACTGCCAACACAGAGATGAAGTCAAGAAGCTCCACCAGGAAGCTTGCTACACAGGCAAGCTTGTACCACAGAAACACTCCCAACTGATCTCTAGAGCCCAACATAATGATCAGGGTCTCACAACCAGTGACTTTTGGGCAGTGTCCTGGAAGCCATAAGCAATTTGCAGATAACATTGATCACATATTCACCCCTGCCCTGGGTTCTCAAAGTTGCCCAGCCAGTTTGTCCAGCTCAAACCTGGCTGGGAAGATCTCTGAAAGGGCTCTACCCCTTTCTGATGCAGTCGGGTCTTGGTAATATATGCCAGGTCAATGTTAATTTCTTGGCAATAGCATGAAAAGATTTTGCATTTGACCCTGTTCTATACAAAATATCAGTGCTTGAGCTGATCCACTTTTTCGTTAACAATAAAAATAATCCGAAAGCTCCTATTGTAACTTTTCTCAACCAAATAATTTCCAGATGTATTGGACAGCTTTCAGGATTCCCAGCCAGCATGGCTATTTGCCATTTAAAGTCTCCAGTACATCTGGACAGCATCAGTTGAAATTGATTCTAATCCAGCTGTTAAATGTTGTCTTATTTCAGATGACTTGCTGAGCATGATTGGCTTTGAATAAGACTTGGATCATGGAATTCCACAACTATAGACTAAAAAATATATCACAAGGAGCAAAACTTATATGATTGTTTATAGTGTATTTACGTACAGTTTTAGCTACTAGGAATGAGGTATTGAGATAGAATGAGAAATGAAAATATTGCTAAAATATAGCAGGATTTTGCACTTTATTTTAATTCTTTTTTAAATTGCTATTCTTTTTATTTTATTGTTCATGGTAAATGCATAGAGGTCAACCTTTAAATCAAAAACTTTTGGTGGGAAGTAACCATTTACCAGCTAAGCAAACTAGTTCTTTGTGCATATCTCCATCTACTGGTAAAGTGTTATAGGGCAGAAAAGCTAATTTTCAGTAAGAAGAGATTATTATAAATACATTATAAAATATTTACTTACTATCCCATGCTTATAGTTTTCCCAGGAACTACTCGTAATGTTTGGTTGCAAGTATTTTTCAGGCAAAGGCTTCACTGGAGCCTTTTTGATCCTGAAACATTACAATGCAAATATTTTTACTCTAGGCAACTATGGTTCAAATGTTATTTTCTTAGTTAATATATTTTTGCTGTCACAAATACTTGCTTGCAGGGATTTGTACAAAGTATTAAAAAATAGTATACCAAATGTATCACTGGTATCTAAGGAAGTACAATATCAATATTTTAGCTGTATGTAAACAATGTAGATGGGGATTATTTAAGTTATATTTTATTAAATTGTTTTAACGTTTATGCAGATGCATTTGTTTGCTGATAATAATCTCATTAATTATATTTACATAAAAAGCAGTTTGGATAAAGCTGAGATAACAGCAGATTTCTCTAATATGTTCTTAAATTTCAAGCAGCAATTCTACATTATTACTTATGGACATAACCACCCAATCTTGTGAAATCAAAGAAATGTAAATGTATAGAAATCAAATATGCCTAGTTTTGCATCAGATCACACAAAAATATAAAACATTTAAGATAAGTGCCACTAAAAATATTGTTACTTGTAAATATGAGCTAAGGTTTATACCCATTTACTGGTAGAATAATTTCAGTAATATATTAAAATGAACAATTCCTGTAGCTCCAGTTATTTAAATCAGTTCCTAGAGCAGACTGTTATAACTTCCTATGATGCACTGAAAACATCAATTTAGTTTCTCCTGACTGAAATTGGTATTATGGTTGTTGGAATGTTGGGAATTTTATTTATTTCATGCTATATGTTGTATTTTATTACTTAGTTTTATTCCTAGGTCTATGTTGTTACATTAATATTCTTTTGGAGAACTGTAAATCATCCAGAATCAGTCATGATTGGAGCAGTATAGAAATCTAGAAGTAAATAAATAAAGTATCTAGTGTGGCCACACTGCTAAAGCAACTGCTGAATCTCTTCCTAAATAATTATTATGTTTACTATAAGTAAATCCTCCTGAATTCAACAGGGATTCTATTTAGGAATATGCATATGATTGAATTAGCTATAGTCTGACAGTTCAATAGCATTCACTTCTAAATATAATTGATGATATTATGCTGTTATTGTGCCTTTGTGCATACGTTTCCTCATCTTTCATCTAGGAGGGGAGGAAATCTTAGACTTTCAGGTCTGATTTAAAAATACCTTTCTGTATCTTAAATCATCATCCATGAAATCAGGAACAATAAGAGTTTTTGATCTTCAAAGATGCATTTGAAAGTGCTGTCTTCTCAAATTCAGCATGTATGAGTCCTTAAATCTCTCATCTTAAAGCTTAGCTTTTAGTAACATGGCTATCATTATAAACCATCTCTGAACATACTCTAGGTTCTTAAAGAGATAGTGTTTGATAATATAGTACACAAGATGGAGTGTGACCTATTCAGAGAAACTATTACTTCCCATGATTTGGAAACAATAATACAGTAGTAAGTCTAAGTTTTTCTGTAGGCATATAACACTGCTGACTATTTTTTGCTTGAAATTAACTTTTATTCCAAAATTTACAATTGATTACCTTGTGACTTATATTCAAGGCTTATAATATTCAAGAAGAAACAATCCCATATGAAGATTATGAGGAAACATGAAAGATATTCTTGAGAACCACAATACAGTGGTTAAAGTGCTGGACTGTCACAGGGTGACCCAGGCTCTACTCTACTCAAGACATACACTCACTGGCTTTGGATCAACCACACTCTTGCACCCAGCTCAGTTCACAGAATTATTGATGGGGGAAGGGGGGAAAGAGGACCCCCCCAAGCTGAGTTCCTGAATGAAAAGTGGTATGTAATCTAACAAAAAATCTTTATTGACATTCACTGAAAAAACAAGTATATAGTTTGATATGTAAAAAACCATATAGTGCAGGGGTGTCAAACTAGCAGCCTGAGGGCCAGGTGTGTCACATGAACGGCACAACCATCCCAGCAAAGGCAAAAAAAATCACACTATGTCACGATACATCACATGATGTGATCAAGTTTGACACGCATGGCGTAGTGGGTCAGATCAAAGTCCACAACACTCCTGGTAAGCCAACCAGGACAGGAGGGAAAATAACTTGTTAAAGTGTTCTGACCAACAACAGGTATTTTACATACTTTTGTATGCTTGGGAAAAGATGACCCACTCTCACTCTTCTCTTAGCAAAACTTTGAGGTATAAAAACTATCCTCAAAAATTTAGAATAGGGATGCAGTTAATGATACAAGATACTCCAATTCATATTTGCTCCTGGTGAATCACTAATCTTAATTTAATATGGGGGTAACTGAAGAGGTGGGGGGGATTTTGTTTAGCAAATTTATTTTCAAAAATGTAACGATCTATTCTAGCCCTTTCCTCCATAATTGTTTGCATATCCACCAAACCATGTCGCTATAAACCACATCCAAATTGATTACGTGCCATGAAGTCATCGTCCTCTTTTAGCAACCACTTACATGTAGATTTTTCTCTATGACATCCAAATCGATTGTGAAACTAATTTTCAGTTTTATCGGCGCCACGGACAGCTAGAATGCAAGATAAAATGCAGTTTGGATAGGTTGAAAGTAGGGCATAATTTATGTTTTAATACATAAAAGCGGGAACGTTTTATTCATTTGATCAACTTCAGTTCCATCAAAAACAAGCGCACGTCAACTGTATTCGCGCAATAAACACAGTGATCCTTCATCAGAATAACTGCATAAATGTCAGCTTATGGTACAATATTTGTAATTATGAACTGACAGGAGTCGGTGGATCTAGAGAACGGGATCCCTGCTTTCCCATCCTTAGGAGATATTCATTTTTACGCATTAAACACGCCTTAAGTCCCTTTGATTCCGCCCTTGCTTGGCAACGTCATAAAAGTGCTGCCTCATTCACCTCCCGGAAGAGCGATGCCCAGATGTGGACTTTTTTCTTTCTTTCTGGCCGCTCTTTCCTTTACAGGCTGTAGTTTTCGAATGTTCTGGAGGCGTTTTGTCGCATTGGTCCCCCGCACTTTCTGTTCTCCGTGCGCAACTGCGTGGTGCGGAAAACACCTTCCGGATAGTCAGATACGCTGGGCGGAAGATAAGGTGGAGTTACTCCTTATAATCTGGATCAACCTAAGTTCTGGGGACTTCGGCGAACGAGTTTCAGGAAGCTTCCCCGGAAAGTTTGGGCTCATTTCATCGGTAACTATAGGTAGGCTGTGAAAATCTTCGCTGTGAAATCCCGTAGAGCGACTGCGAGGTCCCCGGGACAAGAGCCAGGAGCCTCTGATCACGTGTTAATCTTTCCAACCTGAGAGAATCACCAGATGTGTTGGGGCACCCAGAAATCCCATCCAGAATTCCGGTACTGACTGGAAGTTTGGAGAGTTTTCATAGAGCACATCTGGAGAAGCAACGGTTTCAGGAAGGCATGTCATTTCTCACCTCAAAAACGGGTTGCTGGTACCAGAACTTAGTTTCCAAAGCTGCCCTTCACGAAGATTTGTACCTATAAGTTTTCTTTTTAAAGTGTTACAATGGAAATTTTTGTAAAGTTTTTTGGGAGCTCCCAATATTCACTGAATGGCCAACTGCAACTTTTCTTTCAAAAAGCTGTGTGCTTTTGCTGAGGGCAGTATGTAAAGTTCCATGTGTTATGCATGTCAAATCCCTTCAGCCCTACCTAAGGTATACGATTAATAATATAGGATGATGGGAGTTGGAGTCAACATTGGTAAGGCAACAAACTGTTCAACTCTGGCCTACAAGGTTTTAACTATTTTCAGAGGAATTTTCAGATGTTTAGAATGAGCGAGCCTCTACTTCCTTTCTCACTTGGTGATACAGTTACAAAATTGGACATGTGCCATTATGAAAAAAGTACACAGGCAACAGTTCTCCCTGGAGGGATGCATATAATTTACCAGTTAACTACTTGCCTTCCATCTTAGTTTGGTGAATATTATGGTTAAATATGGAGCAGCCACCATTAAGTACAAATACCATCTCTGCCAAGAAATGTGTATGTGGTTAGGGGTATTCCTTTACTCAGAAATTCTAGTCCAGGGGTGTCATACTTGAAACAACATGTCATCTCACGAAGTATCGCAACTTTTTCCCTAAACCAGGGGTGGGCATGGCCAGCATGTGACATATCCAGCCCACGGGCTGCGAGTTTGACACCCCTGTCCTAGTCTGACCAATTTGTGGACTGGGCTTTAGGATTAATCATTCTTTCTTTGGATTCTGTTTTTTTAATATTTGAAGAACCATTAATGAAACTTTTTACAGTATCTATTCCCATGAGGAAAACTTGTTTTCCTTTTGGGGAGAAACTAATGACGGAGAACATTACCAAGAAGAAGAAAAATGCAGAGCAGTTCTTTTAACTGTAATTGAGAGCTGCCTATCTTGTTGGATTGCACTAAATCAAAAGATGACATCATCTGTTTATCCATTTTAAAAAGTAGTGTAATCCTGCTCTATCAGCAGCTTTTTCATCTTACAAATTCACACACAGAATTACAGCTGCTGTTCGTTATTCTTTCTCTCCCTGAGCTGCTCAGGTACTTCCATACAGATAAAAACTTTGGTAATTGCTAGAAACAGCTGGTTTCTGATAGGCCAATCAGCCAGTACGCCAATTGGTTAGAATCTGGCCCTTTGAACTAAGAACAGGAAGAAGTGGGAGGGAAGAACTGGAGGAAAAAGACCTATTGGCGGAAAAAAGGACTCACATGGAGTAGGGAAGCAGAGGGTCACACTGTTAAGGCTGTGGACACCTACGGAGAGACGTTGTTCCTAGAGAGAACTGCTACATCCTGGGCTATGGACTCCTGATCCAGTTGCAGTTTCCTGATTTATCACCTCTGTCTAGAGGAATGGGCCCCATAAACATCTTGCCAAGTCTGCAGAGGAAGCTCCCAGAAGGAAGTCGGTAGGATTGGCCATTTGACCATGAAACACTTTCTCTGATTTATTTGTGTCTTCTACCTGAGAGCTCTAACACAAGTTTTGAGCCCGTACATTGGCTGCCACTTAACCACTGACCAGTAGGTAGGGAGAGATTGTGCCTTGGTTAGGTCCTTTAGCATTAGAGACATTAGAACACTCAATCTAAGTGATATTACCTAACATAAACAGTAATTTCTTACTGTGTTAATTATATTCACTGTATTTTGCTGTGTTATTGATTGTATACTCACTGCCCCAGTATTTGTTGCTATTACCTGCAATTCTACTACCTAATATTATTTTATTCTAAGGGCTATTACTTTAAAGTCGCACAAATCTCACAAGGTTTATCGGTCTGTTTGGTGAGGCAGGCTGGTCATCTGAGAAGAGGAACAGGTGGTTCTCATTTTCAGTGGCTCCTTTGGGGGTGAAGCACCTTAACAATTTTTATTATCAGAGACCTAATTGAGTTCCAAACTGGACTGAGCCCTTTCCTCAGTCTGTTATACTACATATGGCCTTTGTGTTAAAAGGCATATAGAGTATTTCTTGGTGGAACAAGCTCCACATACCTGCTATAATGTATTTAAAGTTATAAACCAAAGGATTTCCCCACCATTTTCCATAACAATAGGTCTGGAGCCCTGCAGTCTATGCCATTTAGAAAATTCTGGTTCCCCATGACCATCATGCTCTACAAAGCATCTGCTACATTTTTGCTACTTTTGGAATGAAATGTACAGTAAAATTTGTGACATCTTAGTGCTTCTATAATTAAGTGTTAGAAACTTTTCCTGCTATTGGCTCACAATTACTTTCATTTTCCTCATACAGTGATCAGATGATTGTTACCTCATTGATTAAATATTGAGATGCTATGTCAAAATTCCTCTGCAAATTAAAAACAGATAATCAGGAAGTATTATAGAATAGCCTGCTGCCTTTTGCTAGTAGAAGTTTTTGAAGGAAGAAATACAGTAAATCATGGTTTTCATAACCTGATATTTTTATGCACTTATGACTATTATAATCAGATTGAATTTATCAATGGCAGTAAACATGTGGATTTTGTAGGAACATTTGGATGAAGCCATGACAAGATGGGCTCGAGCAAGGGTCACACATAACAAGAAGGCCCTAGAGGCAACACCATGGGATGATCTGAAAAATGGGGCTGCTGGAACCGTAGAAACAAATAAAAAGCAGAGCTCTTCAGATATATTTTCTTTAAAGAACAACCAAATGAAAAAGAAGAATAAGAAGAAAAAGGACTACCTGAATGAAGATGTCAATGGCTTTATGGAATACTTAAAACAGAACTCACAGATGTTGCACAATGGACAGTTGATCGATAGTCATCAGGCAAAAGAAGAAATAGCAACAGCTTTGAAAAAGGACAAGCGGCGAGAACAGAGGAGAGTGAAGCGCCAGGAAATTAAGAAGAATATAATGGTAAGATATTCTCTTGTTTTTCTTTTTTTTCACTGTGTAATACTTTCTTAAAGTGCAAATAGGGACTGCAGCCAACGGAGATTGAATAAAAACAATTTACTGGGTTTTTTTCCCAGTTGGATATTTTTCAAGAATATTACATGTTGTTTCTAAAAAATAACCTGCTCTGAACAATTGGCACATAAAATTGTTAATTTGGCACTTATAATCTCTAAGCTGATCTTATGTTTTCTACCATAGGCTGAGTCTACAGGAGGCTTTTATTTGTAAAAGTACAAAATGATAAATTCAGTCTAGTTTCAAGCATGAACAGTTGTGTCCCACTCTATCTAGCAAGTCTTTTCTGACTGATAAAAATAAATTGCCATAGCCTGACAGTAACTTTGCTTAATCGTCTAACTTTTATTTGTTGTTTCATCTTTGTGAGGATACATCAGGGCCAGACAGAGTGCAAGAAGATGGAGCAGTACTGGAAAGAAAAAAATGTGTTCAGTATTGATTGTTGATTGCATGCCATCAAGTTTCTGTTGACTCTTAGTGACCACATACAGATTTTCTCCATGATGATCTTTATCTAACATTGACCCATCATCACTGTAAGTGAGTCAGTCCACAATGCTGATGGTTGTCATTTTTTCCCTTCCACCTTTCCCAGCATTAGCCTTTTCCAGAGAGTAGAATCTTTGCCTAATGTGTACAAAGTAGGGCTAATTTGACCCTAATCATTTGTGCCTTAAGTGTGAACTCAGGTTTATTTGTTCAGTGGTGCATTGGTTTACTCAATATTGTTTAATATGCAGTTTCTATGTTCTGTAAGAAATTCACAGTAGCAGATGGTCATAAGAAAGTTCTTATACAGAAATGAGTTAAACCAGAGACACGTGTATATTAGTCCACGAAATTTGTTAAAATCTTAGCTGTAGCCTCTAAAGACTTTCACAAGCTATAACCAGATTGTAATTTTTAATGGAAGGGAAAACTTTTAAATAAACTAATCACATTGAATATATTTAATTTTAATGACATTTAAATAATATGTAATCAATGTTATTTTTTTTTTGTTCTGGCCTACTCATTACTATGTATAATTTTACCTTTAGTGTTAGATAAATGCAGAGTTATATTCTGGAACTTTTACCATTCTATTCAAATATATATGATTGTAGGATGTTTTTCTTGCAAAACGTTGGATTATATGTTAATTATATGATCAGGTAAGATAAATAGCTTTTCACTTCAACTAATCTTAATTTCAGAGTAAGGGTTAAATTACAAGAAGAATTTTTTTAATAAAATGCAAATGTAATTAGTGTGGAAGTGAATAGTAATGGATTCAGAGTGCTGTGAAGAGGAAGTCCTCTGAAAAAAATATCGTTTCTCTGAAGCATTTCTATTCGGAGGGTATCTGATTATATGTATGCGTGGTTCCCACTTGTAATATGTCATGGTAAGTTTAGGTTGAAAAGTGGCTAGTATAAAAAGATATTGCTTTAAGTCCATAATGAATTCACATGGTAATTCTCCTTGTACTGTTGAAGGTATGCTTCCACTGTCGAAAACCAGGCCATGGGGTTGCAGATTGTCCAGCTGTCCTTGAAAGCCAAGACATGGGAACTGGAATTTGTTACCGATGTGGCTCCACTGAACATGAAATTAACAAATGCAAAGCAAAAATAGATCCAGCTCTTGGTATGTATAATAACTATGGTTCTCAGCACAATAAATGTCGCCAATTATGAGGGTAATATTGATTTAGATATTCCATGTTAGGATTATGATGATTTACAAAATCTTAATGTATTTCCTTCATGACACAAACTATATGAATTTCTTTCAGGGGAATTTCCATATGCAAAATGCTTTATTTGTGGGGAAATGGGCCATCTCTCAAAGTCATGTCCTGATAATCCTAAAGGACTTTATGCTGAAGGTAAGGCCAATTCCCCTCTCCCCCGAAATCCCTTTGTTTTGTTTTTAAATAGATTGTTGACATGCTTCAGAATATTTTTCTTATCTTGACAGTTTGGGTGAATGCAATTGCTTTATCAAGGAATATCTCCTTTTTAAATAAATTCTACAAATTCTCTTGAAAAATTCTGCAAGAAAATACTTTACACCATTATTTTACACAGCAGCAACATCCAATGATCTTTGCTGTGTTCTATTCCAAAAAAACCCCACACCATAGTATCCTCTTTCAAGATTAGAACATAAATGTAGGTTTTATTTACCTTTTCAAATTAAAATCATGTAATCTGCAGCAACAGGAAGTTTTGAAATTATCTTAATATAGTTGGAGAGTTAGAGGTTCACATCTATATATTATTTTATTGTGCTTACTTAGTGCATCTTTTACCATATATTTAAATAATACATGCTGGACATGTTTGACAAGTTACAGTAAAGACAATACAAGGTAAATAATTTAAGTGAACTTTCAGTACTACATTCTATTTATATTATATAGATTTTCCAGGAATGGAAACATTATAATGGGTGTTAGAACAGTAATTGACAAAGCAATCCTCGGGTGATTGTTTAACTTATATCTTTAGAATGTCAGAAATTTTTCAGAATTTAAATAGGATAAATCTAGTGAATTTGCATTTCCTTTATCCAATTTACCCAATTCAAAGTAATTCTGATTACTTTCAATTTCAGGGAAGAATTTAATTTGGCAAAAAGAAAATAAGCAGAAAGAAATCTTTGACCAGTCTTTTCAAGAAAAGAAGTCTTTTAGTAAATTTAACCTCCTTAGTCAAAGTGAAGAGCTATCAGGAAGGGATTTTCACCAAGTATCTCTTTTATATTTAAGCAGCTGAAGATGCCTAGCTAGAGGAAGAAGTAGATAGTAGATATAATTTTTAAATTAGCTAAGCAATGGGAAAGAATGAGCTGGATTAAAGATACAGTAAAGCACATTTTAAAATTAAAATTGTTTTTCTTTACTGTGTACATTGTATGTCTGTGATGGTGGAGGACATATCATGGAGAGAGGATATAAAAAAAAAGTAGATAAAAGAAAGGATTTTCACAATCATGGAAACTTCACCAGATGCAATGTGGTCATGAGGCTACTATTCAAATGTGTCGTTATCCTGCCCAAGTTAGGCATAGAATTGCCATGGATTTTCCTGTCTATCTGAACTTCTTTCCTTTTCTTGTCTGATAGATTCTAATCTACAGAAAGTGTTTCCTACAACTGTTATAGTCTGCTACTAATTATAAATAATTATGTGTCTTATGTTAATTTAAAGGCTAGCAACTTTTTTCTTAAAGTAGAATACTTTAAGAATACTTTTCATTGGCAGATACATTAAAAAAAAAAAACCATTCTCCCCATTGCATTTATGTTTCATTAAAATACATAAATGAACATGTCTATGGAGATTCTCAGTCATCCAGGTCATGGTTGTCCCAAAGATGCTTTTTCAAGAGAAAAATGGACTTTCTGTTTTTTCTTTGAAGACGTTTCTGAACTTCAGAGCTGAAGAAGCTTCTTGGATGAGAAGTGAAACGTCTTCAAAGAAAAAACAGAAAATCCATTTATCTCTTGAAAAAGCACCTTTGGTACAATTAACATACATGGCACAGTGTAATTCATATATATTGCATTAAATTCAGTTGTTGATATTTTTGCTTTCATAGGAGGATCTTGTCGGATTTGTGGATCTGTGGAGCACTTTAAAAGAGACTGTCCAGAAAATCAAAACTCAGGTAGAAACTTACAATTTCTGTTTGTTAAGAAGGCAGAGTTATATGTAGAGAGCTTTCTGTAATGAACTCTGGCTAGATAATTACAAAAGTCACTGAACCATCCTTGTTTCAGATTGTATTGTTTAATATGTTACTCAAAATTATCCAATTTTTAACAGGTCACTTGCTATCTATTCCATTTAAATATGTTCCAAGACATATCACGTTACAGCTGGAAAACAACACTTGTTCTCCATATATACAGGTAGCCCTCAACTTACAACATTCATTTAGTGACCATTCAAAGATATAACACTAATGAGTGACTTATGACTGTTTTTCACTCATGAACATTGCAACATCTCCATGGTCAGGTGATCAAAATTCAGACGGTTGGCAACTGACTCAGATTTATGATGGTTGCAGTGTCCTTGGGTCATGTGATCATCTTTTGTGATTGAAAAAGTCAATGGAAAAGCCATATTCAATTAACAACCATTTTACTAACTTTACAAGTGCAGTGATTCACTTGAACAACTGTGGCAAGAAAGATAATAAAACCGGGCAAACTTCACTGAACAACTGTCTCACTTAGCAATAGAAATTTTGGGATTAATTGTTGTAAATTGAGGACTACATATGTGTGTGTGTGTGTGTGTGTTTGGCACTGAAGAATTTCAGAAGTGCAATATCATGTTCATAGTAATAGTATCATGAAACTGATTAGCCACGCATTGTGGAATTCTTGTTACAAATTCTTGGAGGAGTCATCTACATCAGATTTATTTTTGAGTAGAAAGAATAAAATTGGAATAAAATAAATAACATTGTAGATTTCGGTGTATCAATTGTGTGTAAAAGCTGGAAATGTTAGAAAGTATCAATACTAACTGATATTTTTAATCAACTTGAATTCTTAGAAGGCTTATTATAATTTCATGTAACTTTAACATAAAGAAAATATGCAATCACTATTGCAACAAATTACTGAACTGTATCCTGGAATAAAAGACAGTTGATTTATCATACATTTTTTTCGCCCCCCTCCCCCGCCTTCCATAGATCGAGCAGTAACTGTTGGTCGGTGGATGAAAGGAATGAGTGCAGATTATCAAGAAGTTCTAGAAAATCGTGGACCACAAAAAGGAAAACCAAAAGTACCTAAGATCGTTAACTTTTGACCGCTCTTCTTCTTTATAACTACTTCTCAATATATGACTTAAAATAAAAACTGTAAGCTTTTGGAGATCTCAAAATGACACATTGTTTTTTAAGTATTGATCTAGTGATAAAATCCACCCTAAATGGAAAGAGCCTGGGGAAGAATGAAAAGCCTTTAAATATGATATGCTAGAAATTGTTTAATTGGCCCATTAGCTTTGAACTGGAAGGAAATCTTTCCAAATATTACATAATCACTCGGCCAATTTAACCCAATTTAGACCACAACTGGAATTGGAATTTTGGTTGCTCAGTTATGCCATTAAGTGAATATTTGCTTATGAAAAATGCAATTTCTAAATAAATGATGGCTCAGAATGTTGTATAAACTTTATTATATTGATCAGTCATTATAAAATTATAATTAATAGTCATTTTTATTAAAGCTAACATTTTAAAGTCTCCTAGTTCATTATAAAGAACATGTGCTAAAGTGACTTGCACAGAAATACAGTTGCAAGATTGTGAAACATATACGGTCCGGACTGTCCTGATACACATGTTATAATAAATAGCAGATTTAAGTTCATTTTAAAATAAACATTTGCATCTAAACTAATATTTAAAATGTAATAATATAATTGCATTTACAAGGGTTTTTGTAAAATTTAGAAGATGGTTAGATGTTAGCCTTGGGTGATACTGCAATTGTCATAGTGATGATTTCAAATAAGTAGATGGAAATTGCTTTGTTAGATTGAAACTTCACCCACAAAGTTTTCACTGATTTTTATCATTTTCAGTAATGGTGCATTAAATGTAACTCATTTTGCTGCTTTCTGATTCTAAGAACTGGATGCACATAGATGCGATATCTTCTATCGATTCCCATAGACAAGCAAGGTTTCCAGCAAAATAAGGCATAATATTATGTACACCATGGATGAAGACAGAAACCTTTAAAATATAGAAACAGTCATTGTGATTTAATCCATGCTATAACCAGCACTAACATTATCACACTGCACTAAATATGGAAGATTCTAATGACTTCTTTCTAAACACAACGGGCATATTTGTTTCAATCATTTCCTAAGGGCCCCATTGTTTGTACACTGGTGTTCATTGGAAGGCCAAATGTAACTTTATGCTTAGATATGAAAGTTCACTGATGATCTAACAGAAGGTTTGGCCCACCTAATCTCAAAAGATTTTGTGAGAGGAGAGAATGACTTTACAATATGAAAAATTATATGGAAAGGAAATTTAAATATTTCTGCACCCCAAAAAACAACTTATTCACACAGATGCTACTGTTAAGCTTCTTTTAATTTGAAATGTTTTTCAAATTGCATCATCCCCTTTCTTTTGTAGCTTGTAAACTAATATATAAGTATCTCAAATATTTATGTAACAGTTCTAAAAATGATTAAAAGGAAATTTTTGAATGGACTTCTATATAAAATCATGGAGGTAATTTTTTAAAAATAAAACATGATTGTGTGTCAAATACTACAAGAACCAAGTCTAATTCATAGTGGATTTGGTAAATATTTCTATCATAATCATCAAGAATATGTAAGGAAACTTTGAAAAAAATCACAAATACTGGTGAGAAATAGACAGGAATTGTAAGTCCACTCAGCATTTTCCTCTCTCCATTAGAATAATTTCTTTAGGTGAAAACAGAATCACAGCTACATGTGCTGTTGTCTTGAGTTAAATTATTTTTCTATCTCAATGAGGGAGGAAAAAAGGAAGAAACCAAAACTTATAAACCACTTACCAAAGAGGAATCCTCATGGGTGTGGATCAGGAATCCTGCACACTGGATTTCATTTTGGTGGTAGTTCTGATGAGCAGGCGGAGCAGCTGTTACAGCAATTGATTTCACCGCTATTATGTAAGGATCTCTAAATTGAATAAATGTAGCGTGATTATTAAGGACAAAAAAAGTCAGTTTATAGCATGAAGGCAACAGCTAGTAATTTTAGTTAAGGCAAGATAAATGTCTTTGCTTATGAAGCTGCACATTAAGTGGACAAAAGAATGACAGTTATAATGAGCATAGACTGGTGGCAAAGATTAAAGAGGGGCCTCTCTACTATTACTTTCTTTTTCTCTCTCCATTTCTAGAGTGTTTCCCTAAAAACACCTACTGCTGCACAGGACTACATCTTGACAATTGGCAGCACTGAATGCCTCTATAATGCATTACTAAAGAAATGATTAAATGACGAATTAAGTATACAGTTGTAGCCAAAAGATTGGTTTGCTGGGATAGTAGCCCATGGCTCATCAGAATTCCAAAAGGAGGGATCAAGAATCTAAGAAACGCTAAGACATTCTATATATATAAACAAGGCTGTTTGCAATGCACATAAACACAGAAGAAATTCACACACACACACAAACACACACACATAGATGTAAGAGTGGCACAGTGGTTAGAATGCAGTACTGCAGGCTATTTCTGATCACCAGGTGCCAGGGGTGGGATTCAACCGGTGTTACTACAGGTTCGGTGACGTTTTGTGTGCGTCAGGCGGGCACGCGTGTAACACACTTAAGCTATGCCACCCGGATAGCGGCAGAATCTCATCTGCCATCATCAGGCTTCTGTATTGTGTTCGTCTGTGAGTCGAACATATATATATGTAGGTCTAGGTGTGTTCGGGTCTTTTCCCATGTAAGATTAAGAGTATCTTGGCAACGTTTCAGCGAGGTCCCACTCACCATCCTCAGGCTGGTGCTTTCGGCTTCGTGCCAGTGCAAGCACTGTGTGATCGGAGCTGCCGTCTCTATAAATACTGGTGGTGGGGGCTGGTGTGCTGGGCTGGTTGGCTGCGCTGCTGCCTCTTGATTGGTTGATGGAGTTGATGTTGGTATAATGGGCTGTGTGATGCCCTTGTGAGTTTTGTTGTGGAGATATCCTGGATCTTGTGCTGTAATCTCCTGGGTCGTTTGTTTTGTAGTGATCTTTTTTACATTAGCCTCTTGTGTTTTAACGGCTTGGGTAATGGGTTGTGTGATGGGCTTGCGAGTTCTTTTGTTGTGGTATCTTGGGTCCTGCGTTGTAATCTCCTGGGTCGTTTGTGTTTTGATCTCTTTTCCATTAGCCTCCTTTGTAGTAACGGCTTGGGTAATGGGTTGTGTGATGACCTTGTGAGATTTATTGCTGTGGTATCCTTGGTCTTGTGCTGTGATATCACAACATTTGCTGTGTTGCAACTTCTTGAGTTCTTGTGGTGTAATTTCCTGAGTTTTCTGATGTGATGTCCTGAGCGGGTGGCTGGTGGCTGGGTTTTAGTCTGGCTTCGAGTTTGGGGTCTGGGTCTGTGTTCTTGGCGTGTGTCAGCTTATTTGGTTTTGGGGTCAGGGGGTGCGACAGCTGGTGAAGCAGCTGTGGTCTGTTTTCTGGATGGTGGTTGTCCTTAATTTATAGGATGGGCTTGTGCCTGGGTCTGATGAGGGGGATTGGCGGTGGTGTCCCGTGTTGTTTTGGGTCCGGTGTTCATTTTCGTGGCTGGGACTCGTTTGTTGGTGAGGGCTAGCTTCCAGATGTCTGGTAGGCGGGAGGTATCCAGGCCTATTCATGTTATGGGGATGTTTCTCTATCCCGATGGCTTACCTAATTATTCTCTTGCTGGAGTGTTCAGTGTTGGATATTAATTTGGTTCCTTTGAAATTAATTTCATGTCCTGTGGCTTTAAGGTGCTGGAAGAGGGAGGAAGTATTTTCTTCTCTTCTGACTGCGTTTTTGTGTTCTGCGATGCGTTCATTTATTCTCCTGTTGGTTTGTCCAATGTATGTGGCTGGGCAATTGTTGCATGGCATTTCATAAAGTCCTTGGTTTTCTAGCTGGATCTTGTCTTTGGGGTTTCTTAGGATGTTGGCTATTTTTTGGTCAGTGCCAAAGGCTGTCCTTATATTGTGTTTGTGGAGATTATACCAACATTATACCAACATCAACTCCATCAACCAATCAAGAGGCAGCAGCGCAGCCAACCAGCCCAGCACACCAGCCCCCACCCCCAGTATTTATAGAGAGACGGCAGCTCCAATCACACAGTGCTTGCACTGGCATGAAGCCGAAAGCACCAGCCTGAGGATGGCGAGTGGGACCTCGCCGAAACGTCACCAAGATATTCTTAATCTTACACGGGAAAAGACCCGAACTAGACCTACATACCTGTACCCGTGAAAATCTATGAAAACAAATATATATATATATATATATATATATATATATATATATATATATATATATATATATACACAAAGATTTTCACATTTTATACTTACTCTGTATTAGAAGGTTTCCTTTGAGACACAAGAATTAAAAAATCTCTGGGTTTATTTCCGTTAGTTGAAGCTGAGGATGTAATGTGGTATATTTTGTCCTCTTCAGTCACACACTCCATGACTCTACAATTTCTACAAACATATAAGGCATATAGAAATGGAGTTTAGAGCTTTGGGTATCACTGATTACATAACAGACATTATGTAACCTTTAGATTTCAATTGGTAAAAATCAGTTTTATTTCCGGTTACATGTGTTGAACCTACAGTCTTAGCCTTTTTTGTTTTTAAAGAAATAAGCATGAAAAACTAAAGAGAGGTTTCTTTTTACAAATCCAATCTTATTAAACTGTTTAACCAGTTCTGCTTTGTTTTATGCCTTATTTTGTTTATTTTTACTATTACTGGGCCTAGCTGCTAGGCTGGTTAAGGAACTGTTGATTTCTTGCTGAAGTTTTAGATCAGGGCTGTCAAACTCACAGCCTGTGGGCCAGATGTGTCACGTGCTGGCCACACCCACACCCGGTTTAGTGAAGGGGAAAGTTGTGAAATGTCACTTGACGATGCCATGACGACACGAATTTGACACCCCTGTTTTAGATGATGATGATGATGTACTTTTTTTTTCTGTGTACTGCAAAGAATATTTTGGATCCTGAGTGTAAATTAATAAAATACAATAAATGCCTGGGAGAGATCTCTCAAAACCCTGGGATCTAATTGATCTAGATCTGGAGACTTAAATTAATTCATGGTGGCCAGATGTTTCCTATCCCTTTACTTGCCTTGGACTGCTACTTAATGCATTTGAATGCAGCTACCTATTGAAGACAAGACTCAGGCAAAATAGGAGTGGAAGAGCTCAACCCCTTCTCCACTATCTTATACTGTATGATCATTTTTTCAAGCTCCTGTTTCTTTTGGCTTGTTTGTGAATCCAAGCTCCTTTTAGCTTTATTGAATTTTATTTCTGCAGGCATTTGCTGCTTACATGCCCCATGAGGGATTACAGTCTAATATGTATCTATGTTTGCTAAAACTGCCTAAAATATATTTTGTCTTTTTTAGGTATGTCT